TGGTTTAATATTATTGGCATGTGTTGCCTAATTGACATACTCGGTATATTTCTTAATATTGTTGGCATGTGTTGCCTAATTTATATGCTCAGTATATTCATCAGTACTTTGCGAGGTGTTATCACCGTGTAGTTCGTTATAGTCTGTGTTGTCAGTACCATGCACCATGTATAATAGCTGATTTCCCGGGTAGGGAAAGGCGACACTTAACCACCTAGTGTGAGTCTAAGTGATCACCGTCTATTCTGGTTGAGGCCATGTTATACATCGGATAGTTTCCGTAGGATGTATACAGATATAGTACTCATCCGATTCATAATGATTAATTTATTTGATTCTCTGATTTGGGTCATAGTAGAGAGGACTTGCTCGTGGGGTTGACCCACCATTGTTATTATTTCAGGATACGGTCAGTATTCGTTTCAAGGCTGAGGTTAGCAGTGTGGGACCATCATCCGAACTCATCTACTCTTACGATCCAGTGCAGGGTAGAAGTTTTATGTAATACTTCAGTTTCAGTTTTTATTTACTTTTGACGTTGAACTCTCAGGGTTATATTTAGGGATCCCTGACGTAGGATTTCCAAGTTGTAATGAAGTACTGTATTAAATAAAGGATGGATGGATGTTGTATTATTTAATGTTTCTTTTCTGTCTAAATTCTTTTATTTCCATCATTTTGTATTCCATGCTTGTATATTGCCAATTGTTTTTGATATCCCTCGTTTTTCGTGTATAAGCCTGATCAACTTATGCGTGGAAAATGTGGGGGTGTTACACATGGACTTGACTATGAAGAAGGGAGTTGGCCATCCCTGCACAAACTGGTCGGGAGCTAGAGCCGTTCCCTTGATGAGACCAAGGCAAGTTGAAACCGGCTAGTCAGCATGTATCCTTGGGAGGGTAGGTCATAGTCGCTGACCAGGGCGCTTGTGCGAGCTGAAGCAACTCCTTGGTGCCGCACGGGCCATGCCGTTGCGCCAAATCTCTAGGCCCGTGACATTAGCTCAATTTTCAAGCTTGTTTAGTAAACGAGCCAAGCTTGAATACTATTAGGCTCGGCTCGGTAAGCTCGTGAACAAGCTTGTTTAGCAAAATATTTTATTTAATTTATAATCGGCCCAAATAAATGATACCCATTAGTGTTTATTGTTAAGCCCATATCAAAATGTCAAGCCCATGCAATAAAAAAAATAAAGGGTAAAGTGCACTAAACCCCCCTGTACTTTTTTCTCTCTCCCTAAAAACCCTCCTGAACTTTAATGAATACACTTAACCCCCTAGACTTTCCTATTTGTTGCAAAAAATAGAAATCCATTAGTTAACCGTCTTATAATTAACCTTCAGTGATGGCACGTGACTCACGTGCCTTGGTAAAAATACAAAATACCATATATACCCTTATGACCGTTGAGGCCATTATATTCACCATTATTATATATATACAAACCTTTTATATTCATTAGAAACAGGAAACCCTTTAATAGGCTGAAAAATTGAAAATCATAAAAATATAGGATTTTGGGGAGTAATTTCATAAACCCATTTTCTTATCATTGATAATTAGAGTGTTAATCTAGGAATGAGGTAGCTATTTATGCTATTGAGTGAAAGATATAAAACCTTATAACTTTAGTATGGCCATCAGGAATTAAAAAAGCGAAGTTTTGATCGGATCCAATAATACGAGTCAATTCAGAACCGGATCTCTGAAAACCGGCTTTAGTAAATCGACATTGGGATAGCTTCACATCCGTAGCCAAACATCGCTCTTCGGTCTACAGAACTGGGTTGAACTAGATCTCTGCAAACCTGGTTTTAGTAAACCAAGGTTGGAATAGCTCCACATCCGTAGCCAAACACCGCTCTTCTTCACTGCCAGCACCGACGAGGAACACAATCTGCTGCCGACAACAAAAAAAAATAAAAAACAAAGATCCGAGATCCAGAATGGAGAATCGAGACCATCACAAATCAATTAACAGCCAAGGGATGACGGTGAAGCCCCTGCAAATCTCTCAGTTACACTCAGTTTCAAACGAAGCCACCAATCACAAAATCAGTCACAATGGCGAATACACACGACAGCCACCGACGTCAGCAAACGGAGAGGTCGTCGGTGGGCTACACAGCACAGTCGATCTCTGTAAATTTTTGATCTGCACACTGGTTCGCAACGAAGGCACGGTGATGACAACAACTCCTCGCCGACAGTCCAGAAATGGTCGTCGATGAAGAAAAACGTTCATAACACAATTTCAACTGCAAGCCAAGTTCGTCGATGCTAGGCAATCTCTTCACGAGCTAGTACACACCCAACAATTAGGGTTGAGAGAGAAAAATTGGAAGCAAGAGGGATGGAAGATCACCGGAATTTTGAGAAAAGTCAACAGTGTATATATGACTTGTTTGGCATATTGTTAAGCACTTGGGACTTTTTGGCGCAAGAGAATGATACGTTCGGCGCCCATTTGATATAACCGATGTTATTGATAAGGTTAGGTGGGTACGTGTCACTTCTTTATTAGTCCTAGAGATTACAATGCCACATCATTATCTGATAAAAAAAAATCGATTTAGACGACGTCGTTCAATTAAGCGGCTAAAAGGTAACTTCAATTTTCCGTTAACGGCTGCTTCACAGTTGGGCACTGAGTGCAAGAAATTGATAGTTTAGGAGGTTTTGCTTACTTTAAGGGGGTTTCTTGTAATTGGGGTCATAGTTCAGGGGGTTTAGTGCACTTTACTCAAAAATAAATAAAAGAACTCTTTTGATTACAAAGTCCAACTTATAAGCCGAGGTTGAATTAGAAAACCCTAAAATCTCTCCACACAAATGCCCCCCACCTTTCAGCCATATTCTTATCTCATCTTCATATCTGTGCGGCAAGACTTCATCCCCTCCTATCATCTCTTTTCATGAAGTTCCCCATCTATCTTCTCTCTTCTATCTTCCCTCTTCTTCCAGTGTAGTTGATGCACGCTACAACTTCAGCCCTGTGATTTATGAGAAGATGGAGTACGATCATGATAGATACCGAAGGAGAACAATGGATGAACCTCCAAGATGGCATATATAATATATACATATTTACAATTATATATTCATGGATTTTGTTTATACAGACATGAATATGTGTTTATACATATGAATTAGAGATTTGATATATCTGAACTTTGTCCATGTATGAATCTCTTGATAGAAGACGAGATTGTATGTGATCTCTTGATACAAGACGAGATTGTATGTGTTTTGGCAAAGCGAGCTCGGGCCGAGTCCAATCTTGGCAAAATATTCACGAGCCAAGGCCGGGCTCGAGCTCGGTCTAGTCAAGGCTCGGCTCTTCTCATTTGTAGAAAAGAACTGCATAGTTCACTATTGATTAAACAACAAATTATATAATAACAAAGTCTCGTAATAAAGTAAAGATCGTTATATAATAATAACAACAACAACAACAATAATAATAATAATAATAATAATAACCTTTACTAACATCATCAATAATTCCAATTTGCTTTTCCTTTTTATAAACCATGCTTTAGAAAAAGTAGGAAATTAAATATGAGTAACGGTAGGGAATCGAAAAAGAATCTCCGAATTAATATCGAATTTAACGTGATTAGTTATACTTATCACGTGTAGATGAGATGGACAAAAACAACCGTCAGATCATTCAGTGACCCTATTATTTTAATATATGATATTCATTCAACTTTAAGGGCTAAGGTTTCTTGGAATGTCATGTATCTCAAATTTGAAGGTTTTGAACATAGACATATATTCACGCCCTCTTATCAAGCATTCCATGAATCTATAGGCCATGGTGGTGAATTATCCCTCCTTGATAGTTTGATTTTTGGCTACCAAATGGGCCTCTATGTGACACTTCATGGACCCAGAGTTGGCCCAAATTTTTTAGATCCCAATGAGGAATCACCAAGGAGAATGGTTACTGAGAAATTGTTACGTGGTTCGGCCAATGAATATGTGACACATTAGTAAATGCGTCAAGGATGTGTAAACCTTAATCAGTTTTTGCTAATGTTGTCATATGGTGATTGGCTAAGACGAATGGTCCCGGAATCATATAATAATTTCTAACGATTAGGCCGAGCTCATCAAATCGACTAATCGCTTGTAGCCATGTACGCAATTGTGTCACTATATTAGTCCTAAGCCATGTAAAAATTTCTCTCTCGTGTCATGCCTGGGTGCTACAGCTAAGGCCAGTTCCCTGATCAACCATGGTCAAAGGAGAATCCATTCAAGGATCCTGCACCTATTTCCTGGAATAGATACTTTGGTTGGGCTTTGATGTAGCCTTATTGGACCTTCTTTTGTTTGGCTCAAGGCTCTATTTTTTTATGGCCTGCTTTCTGCTGTTTTGTGAGCCTTAATCCCCCCTGTTCATTCTTTTGATTCTTTATTATACAATTTATCATTTATCAGATACAAAAAAATAAAAAATAAATAAAAAATAAAAAAATTGTGACATTGCAAATTACGAATGAGATTGCAATACTCGTAATTTTTATTTTATTTTATTTTTATTTTTTATTTTTATTTTTTATGGTTATCTTTTAAATTAAGATATTGAGAAAGGGATTGGTTTTTATTTATCTTTTCTTATGGCTGCTGCTCAATCTGTATTTTGTTTTTTCTTTCTTTTTGTAACAGCTGCTGCTTAATATGTACATTCCATGTCTCATGGTTCAAACTTCAAACAATATTGGTCACATACATACAAGAAATTCTAGCTCTTTTAGGACTACATTCCAATGATACTTCGTGAATATAAAGTAAAAGATCGATGGTTTAAGTTTCCATCAAAAATGAAATGCGTGTGAATATCTAACTTATAGGATGACGGAAAAAAAAAAAAAAAAAGGCACTTCAAATAATGGAAATCCTAAAAGTATGAACAATGAGCAGGCCTCTGGCTTCCACTAACACACCCAAACAGATAAATAAATCAAAAGTTAGATACCCCAATCAAATGAGCTCCACAAACTCACTCTTTTCTGTTCTTGAATTCAATAATAATGATCTTTTTATCTCTACTCCTTTTTCTCATGTTAATCTCTTTCTCATAAAATAAGAACTGGTGCCAACCCTACATACATATAGAATCAGGAACAAAACTCCCTTAACATATCACCATCTTTCTGCTAAATTTAGCTCAACTACCAACATATGCCCTACTAACCCAAACTTTTCCACTAAATTTAGCACTTGTTCCTAATCCATCTCTAACTATATATATATATATATAGATATAGATTAATTATCACTGCACATTATTATCCTACAAATGTTACCTAAACATCTTTTCTAGGCTACATAATTTGCCTGCATCTGGCCAAACATTGCTTGTCCTTCCTTGAAGGGTCGGTCGCCCCTTTTTCTTTTTCTCTTTCTTCCTTTTCCTTTGTCTTGCTTTTGTTCAAGACTTGCACAACACCACAAATGTGCCTTCCAAGCTTTCAATTGTTGTTTTCTTTCCAAACTTGAATTATCATATATAGCCAATTTGTCAGACATTTATTTTGCATTAGTTGCAGGCCGGGAAGATTGAAGTACTTCTTTAGCTTCTCCATCTCCTCTAGCTCTTACCTAATGTTCATCAAAATGTGGGGGTCCAGAAATCAGCAGTGGTCTCGCTAACAACTGGAAAAGTGCTCGATATTGGCACGAGGCAAAGTCCGAGGCTTCTTAGCTCTTGGTTTGGCCCTTCTGAGTCAATCTTCAAATTATCGCCAGTCTGCAGGATTATCAGCCAAAATATTCACATTATTCCAACAATAGATATGTATAAATCATCTTTATGTGTGTGTTACATCAAATAAAATAAATCTTTATATGTGGGTTAGGTACACTTTTATATCCTTCTTGTAGTAATTATACAGCAGATTGAATAAAATTAAGACAACTTAATTTGTACCTGTTGGTGCTGAATGGGAGGTCCATTTTTCATATATGGAGTACTTAAAACCTGCAAACGTATAAAAACAAATTATAATTAACTTTGATAATATAATTTGGTTTCTATTTTAGTGCATCACTTCAATATCAAAAGTTTTTAAAAATTTTTTCAGTAAATAATTTCAATTTCAAAAGTTGTCGCAAGAAGATGATCGATAATGGAACATACACGGACTTGATCATGGAGAAACTTGATATACAAGATAGCTTCATGGAGAACCGATGCAGTATCAGTCTGAAACAATTAAATGGTGAAATTAACCCAAGTTAATTAAGAAAAAGTAATCTTGGAAAAAGTATAAGAAAAATCCAAAAATTTACCTTTCCAAAAGGCGAAACCAATTGCTGGAGGGCAGTGACTCGGTCCCCTAGCTTTTCTTTTCGGACCTGATAACAAAGCTAGAAGTTCTCATCCATGTCTTTGAACAAAAGATAATATTTATTATTACAAAGAAAAAAGTAGAGGCTGGTGTTAAAAGTTAATTTGATCGAATCTATGGTACCTTAAAAGTCGGCAATGGTGATGGGGTATCAAACCTTTGTCTTTTAAGTGCCGGTTCACTGCTGCCATTCTTCACCACTGAGCTCGAGAATTGAACATCATCCTTACAACCAGGCTGAAACAAGTTTTAACATATTCAATAACACAGTTTAGAAACCCTAGCCATGTAGCTATATATATGTCAAATTTATTATGCCATATGAATTAATAATCATATTTACCTTTGCAGTGAGGTTGGGACACTTGGGCTTCTCTTCAAACGTGGACGCGAGAAACTGTGATTTGTATAAGGGTGTGTTATTGTTGAAGAGAAAATGATTTGTAGGTTCTAGTTTTGACATGGAAGGGTTCAACAAGGTAGATAATTTAGGCAAAGAAGGAGAAAAACTACTTAAGTTTGGCCGGTAATTTGGTAGAGATGGAATGTTCATTGATGGCTTGTCAAATTGAGATTTTTGTGGTTGAGGCTCGATATCAAATAGAGTTTGCAGCAATTTTGAAGTGCTATATGAAGCTGAACACGTTGAAAAGCCGGTAGCTATGCCTTGGCAAGCCGGGGTGCAGTTACCGGAGCTAGTGACACTGTTCAAACATGACTCATCTAGGGAAAACCCTAATTGATTCATCGGTTTGAAAGCATCAATCGACGAATCTTGGCCTAAGTTGCTTGGACTCCACTCCTTTTCGATTTGAGGACAATCCATCTCTGCTTGTTTATAATTCAATCTCGAATTCATATCTTCTTGTAGCACTGGATAATGATAGTTGCTCTCAGCTCTTCCACTACAAATAAAAAGATAAGAACAAAAGCTTCAACAATCAAAATAATTGATCAATTTGACTTCTTTTTTTTATAGAATAATTACAATGAAAGTAAGCACAATAGTTCAGATTCTGTAGCTGTTGTGAAGGTCTAGAAAACAATAATTGCATGAATTAAATTAGATGTGTATTATTTTTCTATATTGTAATTTTTTATACAAAAAAATATTAATATGGCTATATACAAACACAGCTTCATATATACTCACAGTGAACCTTTGTTGCAATCAGTTGTAACCATCATTTGCCAAGTTGAATCGGAGTCGGGCTGCTGAGGTTTTTGCATGCCTTGGACAATCATGGACTCACCAGAAACTGAGCAAGACTCGTCACAAGACCTTGCCTTTATGTCCACCAACTCACTTGGCCATCCGAAGCTTCCCATATCATTGATGGAAGGCGAACAAAGCGATGATCCATACGTGCTTTTCGACGAATTCCACCAGTTTTCGCCACAAATCCCAGCTTGGAATTGATCTGCCATGGCCAAAGATTGCTTGTATGATGAAGTGTACATGTTAGGTGTGTCCTAGCTAGTGCTTATATGTTGATAAGCTCTTTCTTCTCTGTAGCTTTGGGTTTTCTATGATCTTGTTTGGTTTCAAGTGAATTGCACACTTTGGTGTTATATATATATAATCTATGTGAGTGTGTCTGTGGAAAACGTTTTTTAGTGCAGAGGGTGGAAACTACTGGAATATCGTTGACTTTTCCAAGAGAGGATGATTAAACAAACAAAAGAGTGTTTTGATCGATTGATTTACACATCAATAAAGAAAATCAAAAAAGAAAAAGACAAAAAAAAAAAAAAGAAAAAAAAAAAGAAGGCATTCTGAATCGAATATTTTCTTTATTTTAATCTAATTTTTAATTATCTCCTACTTTATTAATTATTTATATAGTTATAATTTGAAAACTTCTATTCCTCATTGACAAAAGGTATATGATATGATGAAAGCGTCCAATTTGGGCACCCCACGGTCGAATAATAAATATAGCTTTAGCTCGTAAAATATAAAGGCTGAAATTCTTTATTCTTTTAAACCAGACCTTTGATTATTTTAATTCCACGGATTAAATATATATATTTATGTAGAAGAGTGGATTGTGGTTGTGGAGTTAGCGTCTAATTACAAGCTGGTCGTGGTACGGTATAAAGGTATCAAAATTAATTGTTAAAAGAATTCGTGCTTAGGATAAGCTAGTACTTTAATGGAGTAAAGGATTGCGAATCCAAAGTTGTCAAATTTGTTGTTGATTATGTGATCAACTGAATTGTCTAGAATGGGAGACAAAATTTCAGATCAAATGCGATTTCAATTTCAAATTTAAGGTGCTATTTCAGTCCCCCTAAACTTACATGAGTTTCATTTTGTTACAACATTGATTAAATTTTTTTTTTTTTTTTTTTTTCAAGTTCACGACCTCTTACTTGTCTTTTACGAGTTTGTGTTCGCTTCCTTAATTTGTGACAAATGACTCAAAAATCATAAGTCATCAGACTCATTACTCGCCCTCTGCTCATGCACACTTTTCGTACTTATGGTTTTCAAAACATGTGGTAGGAGGTTTTTGTAATCACGATTTTTAAAAATGCATTTACATAGTTAAGATACAGCTGCATTTTTAAGTGTTGACGGATTCTCAAAGAATGCCCAACGACGTACTTTCTATGCCAGTTCACTTTTCGATCTCACTCATACTTTGCTAGTTATTTCAACATGCTGGCACGGGCCTATTTGTAATATATTAGTACATTCTTGTGGGCTATTTTCTCAATCCGAGATTCTGTATTTAACTGATTTACCAAGTATCAATAATCCAAAATTATTTAATAATTTCTCCTATTTGGAAGCCAGTGTAGACAATTGCCCCCCTAACAAAATAAATAAATAAATAAATACCCACCGCCTTTTTTTGTATTAAATACCTATAAATAAATAAATATCGTCCCTATTGAATTAAAAAAAAAAAACTTCAATATTGCCTTCCTCCCACAATATTTTTATCTTATTGTTTAGGGCAGCCTCCTCACATAAATTTCTAAATTGATCCATGTTAATACGTAAAGGATTTTCTTAAAATATATGGAGTGGTGCATTTTGATTCATAGACCATGGATCGAGAGTTCAAGACCTACAGCTTACCTTATTTCAAAAAGGTTTGAACATTTTGGTATATGATTTAAAGATCGAGCTCAGTCCATACCAATTTGATCCATTTTAAAAGATAAGAAAATTATTCTTAAACTTATTTCTTAGATGAATTTGTCGGTTATTATTTAAAAAATGTTTGAACATTTTAGTAAGAAAATTATTCTTAAACTTATTTCTTAGACAAATTCGTCGGTTATTATTTCAAAAAGGTTTGAACATTTTAGTACATGATTTAAAGATCGAGTTCCGTTTGATCCATTTTATAAAATAAAAAAATTATTCTTAAACTTAATTTTTAGACGAATTTGTCGGTTTATGATTTTTGGGGGGCACAAATGACATTCTATGGATAAATCCTTTATGCTAAACAAATCAATTTGAGAAATAAGTTAAGTATCATTACTCATGTAAAGTTTTAAAAAGATTATAGTATTTTGTTTGAGGAACCAAACTGCATTATGGGTTATATGGACTCCGTAATAAAAAAATCAACATGTAGTAGCGGCACAATTCACAAAGCGACAAACTGCATTTTGAACCTTAATTAGGTTTGAGGGACCACAAGTCTACTATTTTATTTTTTATTTGTTAATTTCCCTGCTTTATCAGGCATGTTTATAAATTATAAATAAGCTTCATTTTTCAATATTATAAGTTTATAAACCGGCAATCCAAGGTGACTCGTTAGGCCGCCAGTTGCGCCTATAGACCTATACTACTGTAGTGTGTATACAATATATAATATATATATATATATATATATAGAGAGAGAGAGAGAGAGAGAGAGAGAGAGAGAGAGAGAGGTCATGCTTATGACCGGGTGTTTAGCCTCAGTGAGTCAAAATGTGGGGTCCTGGCGGCAAGCAGGCGTGGAAGAGCCTGGGACCTACCTTAAAATAGTCAAAATCCGGATCATGACATCTCATTCTCCATACTTATCCGTATTCACACAGACAGACACACACACACACACACAACAACCCTTGCATCATTAATTTTGTTCAAGGATAATCATGATATTTAGCACTCCAATTTTTATTTTATTTCGGGTAAATTGTAATTACACCTTCCAGATTTAAGTTAAAAACATTTATTTACAACTTAAGTATTTTTTAAACAATAAATATCACCTTAGGTGACATGTTGTTTGAGTAATATTTCAATAAATAGTAAAAAATAAAAATATTAATTTGTGTGTGATTACTTGAAAGTGATATTTAATGTAAAAAATGATCTTTTAATTACGTACTCTTATTATGGTTAGGGGTAGTATTGTTCAAGCATGTAAACTTGAGGGGCAATTGTATCACATTCTTCCTAAATTATATTTGTTTGTCTTTACTACAAACTTGAGGAGTTGTGAGTACAAATTACCCTTTTACTTTTACATATGTTGTGAATTATGCGATCCAACATAATTAAAATTTAACATATAAATAATTAATTAATTTTGTTTAATTTTTTACTTATATATCAAATTATGATCTATCAAAACTACGTATTCTCAAACCTTTAATAAATTTATAATTATTTTTTTACCATTTTACCATTATATTAAGAATAAAACTATTTGTGTAGTCGATTTGCAAACTCAATACTTGTGAGTTCACCCATTGATCGATTTGGCACACATGTAACATTTGCAATAACTTCACATTCTTTTCGTCTTTTTCTTAACTTACAAGTATATTATGAATGATAAATTCTAAAACACAAAAATACTTAAATTTAGGCACCTACCCCCACCAAAGTATAAAGAAACCTTAATTAAAAAAAAAACACGCAACACCTTAATACGTAATTCTAAATGAACCCATTTGAAAAAATAAATAAATCAATACGTATATAATTAGTACTCATATTTTTCTAAGAAATTATGAAACAATTTTTTGGTCAGATTTTGGATTTGCTTCCCAATGGACACCAGTTCGAGTTTTCGCAGGGCCACTGGAGGATTATTCAATCTTTAATTTCAGGGCCTCCTAGTGTGATTAGTTGAGATGCGCGCAAGCGGCCCAAACACCCAAGATTATTCCAAAAAAAAATTATGAAACAATTAATTTCAATCCATATATGTCCTTTTATATATAAATATATAATCAATATTTATTTCTTCTTTTGTTATGAAGTTCTATAGCTTTTTATATACAGTAATAATTTTCACATTTTTTTTTTCTTTTCCCCTTTCAATGAGGTATTAATTACTTAAAATTATTAGGTATCAATTTTTCTGAAAGTATCGATTGCTTGCTAAGTATACTTGGCTTCACCTTTAAAAAAATAATATTTCTGAAAGTAAAATAATATTATGTAAATAGTAGTAGTAATAGTTAACTCAATAAATTAGCAACGTTATTTTGAATGCCGCTACATAAAGATTAAGGCACTCGAATCAGTTTCTAATATCCCCAAAAAAAAAAAAAATAATGCTACATTAATCAGGACTGTGCGTTTCACGGCTCATAATGCAAAACGAATAAGGTCAAACTCATAGCCATCAACTCCATGGTTTTTCTACACACCTTCTTATGCTCGTGGAATGTTCATTCTTCAAATAATTATCACTTTTCGTCTCTCAAGGCTCATGTCATGCCTTTTGACCTCTACCACACACACTAATCTTGTTTAAGGATGTGCAGGTGTAAGTTTAGTTGTCTAATCTTGCTCATGTCATGCTTTTGGGGAGTCCGTGTTTAAACCTTGTATCATATTTTTACCCCCCAACCACTAATTTCTAGTATTTTTTTTATGAAAAAAAAAAATCTATTTAAGAATGTTAGTAACAAAAATTTAAGAAGATAATTATAAGAGTTAATTGCACTCACATCCTTTAAGGTTTACCCTATTAACAGTCATATATAAGTTAGTCTCTTTTTAAACAATGACACTCAAATTTGATAAAGTTAACAAAGGCACCCATATCACAATCTCCTCATCGTCAGCGCCTTATTGCTTGTTTTCAATACCAATTAGATCGACCATTTGCTTCGATTACTCTTAAGTGGCGGTTTCACACGTTGGTGACTGGTGTTGCAGAGTTGATGAGAGATAAAAGGGTTAGGGCCTTAGCAGAGGTGAAGCTGGTGGACACGTGTAAAAGTCACACGATTTAAAAATTGCTAAAGAATAGTTTTATCAATTAAAAGAGTTGATTTTTTAAATGGAAAATGAATTTTTTAGTGAAGGACAATAAGGCATTTTACTCTAGTTTAGGCTGTGTTTGGATTCATATCTGACAAGGGAGTGTCATTGTTAAAAAAACATACTAACTTATATATGGCTGTTAATAGGTCAAATTTCAGGATGTGTCATTTGCAATTAACCTTAATTATAATATAACTACTCAATCACCCAAACATATGTTGCGAAATTAAACAGAAAATAAAGAAACACAGATCAATCACACACAACAAGAACATACAGATTTTTACTTGATCCACCCAAAATTAAGATTACATTCACGAATTGCAGGAATTTCACTATAATGATTAAAAAGGCACACGGTACAAAGAATTCAATATGAATAAATACTCTCGTACCATAGTA